GCAGAATGTTTCCAAATCAGCGCTTTTAAAAAAAAAAAAATGTTTATTCGAAGTTTTCAAGAATACAGAATCCGAGTATTACAGAGTGATTTAGGAAAATAAATAGAATCAGGTATAGTCACATAGCTCGGTACTTAGTCAAAAAGAAAACAAAACATGGATCTATATAGTCATAAATCAGATTATCAATTTCAATATGTATGACACGGGGGTTTAAGGTACAGATCCGGCATGGGTGGATTTACAGATAGGTGCACATAAATTATCTGTATAAGTCATAATATAATAGAGTATTGGTCATGACTCGACTCTTGTGAAGGTTTGTCTACTGTCGGATTCAGGGAGAGGAGAGAGGAAGAGAGGGAGAGGAAGAGAAAGAGAGGGCTAGGAAGGGTTAAGAGATCCAGAAGGGAAGAGGGAGAAGCATTTCTTTATTTTTTTACTTTATTTTTTAATTTGATTATTATTACTTATTATTTATTACTTATTGTTTTATTTTTATTTAAGTAATTTTTTGATCAATTATTTTTTCACTTACCTTTATTGCTATCGCACAGGAAGTGACGTTCAAAGTGGGGTGGGAGACATTTCCGGATCCAGGGGTCCCACACTCTGCCAAATCAGCTATTTTGTCCTAGATTTTTCATTTCTCCTGCCTTCTCCAAACTCTTCACCCTTTTGTGAATAACCCCTCTTAAAGAAGACAGAAGTTTTTACTTGCCTGGCCTTTTAGATAACAGGTGTCTAAATACAGCAAACACAGCAGTGTGAGCATACTGCTCATTCTCATTCCTATGGTGAGCATTCCTGCAGTTAAAAAAAATCTGCTAACTAAAGCTAATTTTATTAAATCCCTAGGATAGAATTCAATTTTTTATAACCTTTATTGTCCTTTGTGGTTACTACGCTTTTCATTTCCTGGGTCTAATTCAGAATGCAAGGGGAAATTTTTTACTTAAATCCAATTAATAGCAATAATTCATTTGGCTGCACTTAATCTGCGGAGACAGTTTAATAGAACTACCGAAGATCCTGTTTTAGGCTTTTGCTGTTATATGTCCCTAAACACTTTTCAGATTTTTTGTAATTTAATCTTATATTGTCTTATGAAGACCTGTTTACTTTGTGACTTATCTAAGAACGAAAATTAAATGTCACTGTTTAATTATCGGAGATAATACAAGCAATGTTTGCTCAATAATACCCATGATGACATTCAGCCAAATAAGATGATCTTCATAAGTTTACTACTTAGAGACAACTGTATTTTTGGGACTTTTTTTTTTTTTTCTTATAGTCCTAACTTTACCGCAAAGGAGCATCAGAAGCAATCACAATGTTCTTTACAGAACACAGATAAGAAATGAAAAATGATTTAACAAGGATGGGAGAAAAATAGCTTGGGGTAGTGTATACTACATACTAAGATTACAGTTTAAAAGCGATATAATCGTACAAATGTATCAGAATCATTACCACAAAGCTTACAATGGTTTCCTGTCACTCTTTACTGGATGAGATTTGGAGTGTCACAAGCTTTATATTCAATTGGTATTATTATATTTTAACTGTATAGAACCTTTATACTCTGATGATCAAAGGCTGAGATGATTGTAAATTATATCAGAGCATAAAAAAAATGACTGGTCTGTGTTCAAGCCTTATAGCAATACCTGGATCTCTCATTTCCTGTCACAGCTCATGGCAAGCAGATCTCAGCAGTTAAGATATTTCTTGAGATGTTGACTTATAAAGTAACATTTATCCTTTAAGTATGAGTAATGAAAGTAGAGATGGTTTTTTGTTTTTTTTTGTTTTTTTACAGAGAAAAGGTCTAAATTGGTTTCAAAGGCTTCCAGCTCCTACACTGTTTAATTATAACCTGGTGATGCTCCGATTTCTGCAGTTTTGTGTGGATGACCTTAACAAACCTCTAGGCCATTTAAAACTTTTTAGAGTGCTGTGGAGTTATTTGATGAAACTTTTCAGAGTAGAAATGTATTTTCTTTTCATCATTCTGGTTTCAATTTATTACTAAAGGCTAAACTATCCTGACATTATGGATAAGTGCCACCCACCTTTTACCTAAACTGTTCAATTCAGAACACCCTTTTTGGCCACTGAAACACTCCCTTTATGGCGGTTGATAAAGGGGTTTAGCCTGACACTAAATTCGAGTTAAATCGTAACATTTCATTCAAGTTCCCTTAATTATTATAAAAAATGTAGCTTATTTGAGCTTCACTCGTCTGTACATCCTCAAATCATCTCTGAATTTGTACTGGAACCTTCTGGAGGGTGGCTACTTTTGTTCCCAAGGTCCCTGTGTGTGTTGTAAAGTAGCCACCACTCCAAGCTCACTCCCGCAATAGAATACAATCTCACGTTTAGTTCACTAATTTGTATTGAGATTGTAGTCCATCACAGGAGCGAGCTTGGAGCGATGGCTGCTTTACAACACACACAGGGACCTTGGGAACAAAAGTAGCCACCCCTCGGAAGGAAGGACAGTGTCAGCACCAATTCAGAGATGATTGGAGGATCTACATAGTTAAAGTGCTTGAAATTATTTTTAAGATTTTTTGAAAAACAATGTACCGCTTTTGGTACCTAAAATCCTGAATAATCATACCGCCAGGGAGGTTAAATGGGTGCAAAGAGATGGATTTTCTAGATAACAAAGGTAATATAAATCTTATAATTTCAGAAGCTGCCTAAGAGAAGAAACCATATGTCCTGCACCTTAATGGTAAATCAACAGTATTTTGTTCAGACACCAGTGCAGCACAATACCATGTTAAAGTGGACCTTTACCCCCTTTTACAGCTCCGCATGCTGATTTAAAATCATATTACATTTATTAGTTAACCTCCTTGGCGGTATTCCCGAGTGTAGCTCGGGGTTACTTCTCCATACCCTGAGCTACACTCGGGAATATCCCACAGTATTTACTTACTTTGTCCCTCGAAGCGTGCGGTGTCCTCTGGCCAGCGCCGGCATCTGTCTTCCAGGTTCTGTCCCTTGCGAGCTGACCGGCGGGAAATTCGAAAAAAAACCCGGAAAAAACGAAGAAATGAAAAAAATCCGAAAAAATAACGAAAAGCTAAATAATCATACCGCCAGGGAGGTTAAAGGAGAATTATGAGGCGAGTGATTTTCACTCAGCCTCATCATCTAAGCTGACCTGTGACAATGAAACTGTCACAGGTCGGCTCAGTAGATCGGGAAGTGAGCAAACACATACCGTCGCTCGCTCACTTCTCGATCTATCCCTGCAGAGAGCCGTGACTGTCACTCCCTGCAGGGATTCCCCCTCCCCTGTCCGATCCTCCAGCGCTGACGGGCGGAACGGACGGGGGAGGGGGCGGTCACAGCTGGCTCTGCCTCTAGATAGGCAGAGCCAGCTGTCAATCACGCAGCTGGATGGATCCAGACAGTATTGTCGGCTGCGGCATCTCAGTATAGCTGTAGCTCGTGATATACTGAGCTTTGGGTCACGGGAGAACGCTAGTTTGTGTTCTCCTGTGACCCTTAGGAGAACTATGGAGAAAAGCCCTGACCCCATAGTTCTCCTTTAAACAAACCTGTTTTTCATTTACTTACAAATAGAGTTAATTTACTTCTTGGTCCATTTCTGGCACAAATAATGAAAGTGCCAAAGCATTGCACGTAACCTGGAAAGGTTACATCAGCAGAGCATTGCTGGGAAATCTCATCTGTGATCTCATGAGGTCTCAGGGAAAGACATTTTCCTCACCCGGAGATGATGTGCATATTCACATGTCCTAGTCACATGCCTTGTCACAGGAAGTAAATAGAGAGCTAGTAATCAGCCATTAGTAAACATAGCCAGTCTCAGAAGACTGGGAAAGAAAAGAGAAATAAGGTATGCAAAGAATACAAAGCCGGCAATTATCTATAAGTATGTGTTTGTATATTGTCATTACTAAACATTTCTAAAGGTCCATTTTAAGCAACCTGCAGTGGTGAAAAAAGATACCAGCCACCAAGAGAGTACATTGGTTTCAATTACTAAACATTTCTAAAGGTCCATTTTAAGCAACCTGCAGTGGTGAAAAAAGATACCAGCCACAAAGAGAGTACATTGGTTTCAATGGGATTGATTTACTAAAGGCAAATGTGCTGTTTACAATGCAAGGTAATTTTAATTTAGCTTAATGAAATTCACTTTGCAAAGAATACCCAATAATGTGCAAGGGAAAAAAAATAATTTTGCTTGCGCATAATTGGATGATGGAAGTCAGCAGAGCTTCACTCAATTCACTAAGCTAAGGGAAGATTCACCTACAAAGTGAACAGCCTATTTGCCTTTCAACCCCAACGCATCTGCTGTCTCATGGATTTAAATTTTTAAAAGAAGCAGTAATGCACTGCAGAGCAGGAAGAAGGGCCTGAATATGTTATAAGCAATTATGTTTTTGACACACATTGATGACATATATATCAAGCTGCTGTCTTATACATGTAAGTCTAAAAAAAAAAATCACCAGCTTCAGCTGCCAGGAGCAAAGAAAATACACAGTATTTCCAGGAATGGAGGAACATGTGACTCACTTCATATGACAGCAATGTGACTTTATCCATCATTGTCACATGGGGCCAGGAAGAGAGCTCATCCTTGTTTAGCGGAGTGCCTAAACAGTGCTGTCTTTCTTGTTTCGGCCATTGAATGGTAGGGGATTGAAGGTAAGCTGGGGGGCATTAAAGGGTACCTGTTGCTTTGCCGTGAATGGGCAAAGCATAAGTACACTTCAAGGGCAGGATGGTGGTCTTGCAGCACTAGAATCATAGATATGTTCTCCACTAGGGACACTATCTGCATTATATAATTTGACATTCACTTGACACTAGGCATCATACACTCTATTACCCCAAACAGAAGAAAACAGAGCTTCAAAATCTTCTGGAAATCTGACTTTAATTGTGTTAATATGTGGCATGTTTTGACAGGCTTATCTGTTACTTTTTTTTTTGTTTAGGTAACTTTTCATTTTCAAACCTTAAAATGTGACAGCGACAGAACAGTGATTGACGACAGCAAGAAAATTGGGGTCCCTATGGAAATAGTTATTGGGAACATGTTTAAGCTGGAGGTCTGGGAGGTTCTGCTCACTTCTATGAGGATTGGTGAAGTGGCTGAATTCTGGTGTGATGTCACAGTGAGTATTCTCCAATCTTTCTTTATCTAATTTTTTTTGCAGTCGTAATTAAAGCCCAACTCTGGACGAGTCAGGGCCCCGCAGCAAAGTTTTTTTGTCTTGTGCCTGGAGTTGTGCTTTAAGTGTAATGTCAAAAACTTCACCTAATGCTGCTGAGCTCCAAACCTTTGTTTATTTTTAACTATTTGCAATATTCTTGTAAAAGGTCAATAATCAAATGTTCCAAATTTAGTACACAGAGTGTATATAAGTACTTTGTGTTAAAGGTGTTACCTTCTTGTCCTATTTACCAGTCAAAGTTAATACCTACCAGCAGCCGCAGGCTCAATTTAGTTACTGACAGCCAAGCAGAACTGTCCCAGCAAGTCAGAGGGGTGCTGCTAGAGGGTGGCGTTTACACAGAGCCAACCAGTAACTGAACATAGATCTCAATCTTTGAGGAGGCCACATGTTTTCCTGCCAGGGATATATTATGATGTTTCCAGCTGATTTGAGAGCAATGCACAAAGGGAACCCTGAAAAGTAAACAACTTTCTTTTATATTTTTGGAAGTGAAGATTATCCTTAGCCTTCTGTTTTAAAGCATAATTGCAGTTCTGCGCCCATACTTTCTTTGGCCTTATAAGAACGAATATTCCTAGCAGGTCAAGTGGGTGTTGCCAGAGCATACCGAGCTAACCTATGCCTGTAATAGAAGTCACCAGCACTCGATGATGTGTGCAAGAAGTAAATCACTTTTTATTAAATTGTCACATGCATCAAACAGCCAACGCTTCGGGGCCACGCAGGGTCCCTTCTTCTGGGCGACATAGTCACGTTGGCTGTTTGACGCATGTGACGATTTAATAAAAAGTGCTTTACTTCTTACACACATCATCGAGTGCTGGTGACTTCTATTATGGACTGTATCTGACACGGCGCCATCCGTGTTGTCATTTCAAGCACCAACCTTTCATGAAAGATCTGTACGCTGTATGGAGTGCAGGTGATTTCGTATTATTGATTCTAACCTATGCCTGGACACAAACCTCAGTCTTTGATAAGACCACGTGTCCTGCTGCCACGGACATGCTTAGGTCCCACCAGCTGGAGGGAGCCCAGAAATGCTGGTAGAAATGTATTACCCACAATAAGAAAGTGGGGTTTTTAACGTTCCCTAAATCGATAATGCCAGTTCCATTTCATGGCACACACCACATGCAATCTTCCAGTGTGTTTATTTACTGATACTGTGCTCACCGGTCTGCCCATTCATCATAATGAGTCTGATTAAGGGACCCAGAGTGGCCCCGAAACATTGCTTTCTTTGTGACATGATGTGCATTCGTCAGTAAAGACGTTCTTTAAATATTTCATGTGCTGGTGACGTACCTCATTTATTTACTGATAGTGGACCCTGGAAAGTGAACCCCTTGTTTTTATATTTGTGATAATCTATTATTTTTTTATATATATTATCTTTTAAAACCATTATGTTTTAACCCCTTCGTGACGGGAGACGTACACTGTACGTCCAGCCACAAAGGGACCAAATGACTTGTCACGTACACTGTACGTGACGAGTTATTTGCTGCTTTAGAGGGCTGTTAATCGCTGAGAATCAGCTTTTAACATTCATTAATGGCTGCCCTTACTACAGAGGCATTCATTAATGAAAGGGTTAACCTTTTTCAGACACCCGATACCTTAATATCGGGTGTCTGAGAGTCAAAGCAAAGCGGACACAGATGCCGGCTTTTGCCGGCATTCTGACAGCTCGTATAGATCGAGAGATATCTCTCTCAAGCTATACTGGCTTTTTTTTTTTTTTTCATGAATAGATACAAAATGTGTCTATTCCTACAATGTATCTATTCCTGGAAGAAGAATGTTTGTTTGCTGATCGTTGTTGCAACAATCAGAAAACATTTAGTAACAGCTGAATCCTGAACTGCTGCAGGATCAGTGTCACTAACTTATTATCGGCTGTTCTGAAGTTTGAAGCAGCCTGATAATAACCAAAAATTTATTAATTTATCATGCAGTAACAGTGAGATTAATTCACAAAATCTGCTTGATATAATTAAATAAATAAAATAACATTTTTAAGTTAAAAAAAAAGTGAAAAGTGTAAAAAAAAAAAAAAATTGTGAAAAGTGTAAAAAAAATAAAAAAATGTGTAAAAAATAAAATAAAATAAGGGACAAATAAATGAATGTATTTATTGCATTTTTTTAGCTGTGCTGGTTTTGTAAAAAAAATACTACAAATCAAAACTGGGAAAAAAGTGTTTTTTTTAAACGGTTTTTTCCTCTTTTTTTATATTTTATTTGTCCTAAGTGAGGCGTTAGACGCACATATGTGATATAAATATGTAGCCCTATCTGTCCTCTAAAAAACAATATATAATATGTGTGGGTGCACTTTGTAAGAAAGTATATTACTGACGTGGAAGAATCACACAGCAAAAATGTCAAAAGTGTGTCAGTCATTTACGAACAGAAACTAAAAACAAGCTCAGTCATGAAGGGGTTAAAGGATAATAGCACATATGGTGCATTTTCTTTGAGTGCCTTTTGTTCCTACGGCCTTATAAAAATATATACCATTACTTACCTTTCTTGCCAAGATCAGTGTATTTAAAACATCTGAAGTGGAACCAGTATTCATTGGGAGATGGCTGCTCACCCGTTCCATTGTAGAGCCCCCTCGCTATCCTTAAAAGCACTGAACAGCAGCAGACTTCTCAACAATGAAGAACGTAAAGAGACACTGTCACAATGTTAAAAGCACAGAAAAAAATAAGTATTTTATTTGCTTACTTGCAGTGTTTTTTCTTGCCATACATTATTTTTGTGCACTTGCAATGTGCCTGTGAACCTGGAAGATTCAATTCCCTATCACAGCCCTCTCCCTCCATGTCATAAACCTCTTCTGTAAGTTTCTTATTACTCTCTGTGCTGACCCACCTCCTTCAACTGCCTAAAAAACTCTTATGTAGCAGTCTGGGTAGAAGTGAAGGGGAATATTATAGACTGTAACTTGAGTGATAGCTCTGAGTCTGCTGGGTTTGCTGACATCACGCCCAAGATGGCGGTGCCAAGCAGCACTCCTAGGGCTTTTAGATGCCATACATAAGGGATGCACTTACAGGTAAATAACATAAATATAATCTTATGAGAATATTGTTGCAATTAATGGTCTGGGGAGGGTCTCTTTAAAACAGACACTGGGTGCCTAAAGTTATTCTTTAAATTTTTATGTATACATGTTAGTATTTTAGTATCGGGTTTTCTTTTTATTTTCGGAATCCTTACCCTAAGCTAGCCTGTTATCTCCAAGCAGTTACCACATTTCTGTAGTAATCCACAGAAGGCAAATAAAAATTTGGTTTATTGATCTGAATTGCACATCAATGAGCAAAGTTAATTTCCTTAATGGTTGCTGTATTGATAACTGTCATTATGTTAATTACTATCTTAGTAGTATGGTACGTTCAACATGCCAGAACTTTATTGACTTCCATTTTTTGTGAATGTGAATCACTACTTCTCAGGAGTTATATTTAGCGTTACTTCCCCCCCCCCCCCCCCCCTTGTGTTTTTTTGCAC